CTTCCGAGATTTCCTACAGCAAAAAAAATTCCAGAACGATGGCACACAGCATATGCATATGCAATCGCATCCGCCAATATTAATATCATGGGTACCTACTGGTACGGGAAGTCCAAAGCCCAAATAACTTCGCTCACAAAAGTGAGGAAAACACCAAGAGTACTGTGTACTTCCAGCAGTAAGCTCAACACCCAGCGAACAGTGTCTGTTTATCTTGCTGCGATAATATATAAACATAGTACGTACGTAACGAGAAACAATAAAAAATAAACTATGGCTTCGAAAATATATGTACATGTATGTATATGAATAATATCGGACTAAATAATTTTTTTTTTGTTGAAAATTATTTTGTATTACCGTATAAGGGATCTTCCATTCAATATCCTCATCTGTCACTTTAAAAAAACTTTAGCCTGATATTAAACGCCATCTGTGACTTAAATGTCAACTCTGATACTATTTCAAACTTTTAAATCCAGTCGTATATATCAATAGTTAGCTTTAAATAAGGATATCCTTAATAGAATCTATAACAGCTAACTCTTAGGTGGATTTTAATATCAGAAACTGGTTTTTCTAAAAATTGTAGAGGGAAGGTGTTGAATATGTATAAGCCGTCGGAATGTATATTTACACCTATCCATTTTTCATTTCCACAATCAACCTATCCCGGCTTGCATCTGGTACATTTTATGGAAAAATGTAGTACAAACTAAAGGTGGCAGCCTTAGTTGGCAGACTCAAAAATAAGAAAACTGGTAATAAACTCAAAAATCCTGTGCTAAATAAATTGACTTTCTTTTTTAATGTATAGCTACTAGCATTGATTATAAAATTTTCAACAAATATAATATATTTATAATATTATTATTCACATATTCGACATTTTCTTTTGTTTATTCACGATCATATCGACCCCTAACAAAAAATCGTAAGCGACATCGTTTGCATTATTTTTGCGGATAGGGCTCGACATACATATCATGCATTTACTTTTACATACATATGTGCATATGTACATATAAATACATACTACATATGTATGTGGATTTGGGCCTTATCACTGACGTCACAGGCAACGGCAAATTCGTTTTTTAAAAATACAATTATTTTGGTATTAAATACTCTTATCCTCGGTTACTTATGATTGTATAGAGGAATTCGCTCTTCTGTGTACTCGTTGTATGCTGTGTAATTGTAACTGAATGAGCGTGTGATTTGTTGTTGCTAGCGGTACCACACGCTCGTCCAGTTAAGAGCTGATTATACTTACGTTGCAGTGCAGCGAATAGAGAAGCAGCGCATGTGAAGCAGGAATGTAATTATACTCCGCATAGAGCGCATAATCTCCCAGAATCAGCTCATCAGTGTAATCAGTTAGTCTGTTCCATTAGTCCAGGTTATAGTTAAGCAGCATAGCTGATGAATGCGTATTCATAGCCCAAATGAAGTCGACACTCAAGTTAGTTGCTGCTTTTTGTCAAAATGTTCAATGGTAAGGCGGGCGACAACTAACTTTGTAATCGACTTTGTTTCGACTATAAATATGCCCCAATGTATATGCAAGCACAACTTCTCACTAATTCCTGTAAATCTGATGGGTACTGGACTGAAGTGACTAATGAGAGCAATGAGAGTGGCATCTCTCTTTGAAAATGGCACATAGCGAAAAATCAAAATCCACCAGACTTCGCTGTCATGCCGTGTACAATACTCACGTTATGCGCTGCAGTACAATGTAAGTTTAACCAGCGCTTTACGCTTACGCAGGATACAGCGAATACACAGAAGCGCGAATTCCAATTATGTACTATCTATATTTGTATATACATACATACATATACATATATGTATAAGTATTCATTCTTAAACCTAGAGAACTAATGTTAGTCGATTCGACTATTGTTTAATATTGACGAACTAAAAAAAAAACACATAAATGTTTCGCGGCCTTGCATTTTGCCGACACTTTCGCTAATTTGTGGTGTGAGTCTTTACAATGTCAGAAAGTGGTTGTACGTGCCCTCTTACGCCGTGTCAGAACGGATTTATTTATTTATCCCAAACAATTTTTGAAATTTCAATTGCTGTTACGGATAGTTATAGAAGCCATGAATATCTGAACCGGCGTTAAGAGAATGGCAAAAGCATCTAACAAAGCATAATTGCATCAAGTTCGTATCAAAACGTTTTCAAAATAGTACACTTCAGTCATTACTAAAATTTGTTGTCAATTGTTGGTAAGAAGCTTGGTCTAATAAGAGCGTCGGGCCAACATTTTGAGACGTTTTTTCTTAAATAGAAGCTCTTTGGTTTGCTATTGTCACGAAAGGATGTTTACTTCAAAGCATTTGAATTAATTAGCTTATATAATATGTATTGGTCATTAACCCCTTTTCAATTTTGGATAAAGTAGTATTTATGTATACTGCTCGCGGTTGCCATTTTGGACGAAATGTACCTACCCAGTGTTGCCAGATAATTTTTTTTTATTTTTCACCTAAATCACCGAAAAAAGTTACCAAAATCAACAAAAAATTACCAAATTAATTTTATGTGCAGAACTAATGTACACAAGCATATGTACATAATTACGTTATTTTGGCAGTTAGGGCTCGACATGTATATTTGTACAGTTCTGCACATAAAATATGTTTGGTAATTTTTAATAATATGTTAAAACTTGCCAAAATATGGTTCGGCTATAATTTTTTCGACCACTGTATTTAAACAAGTGACAAGAAAATATATTAAAAATTCAACGCTTGAAGGAAAGCTTTCGACTCACACATAGACAGAGTGAAGTCCCCCGCTGAATGCCGTAGCTTTTTGAACGAGAACATACATATTTTCTACTCATATATATGGTTGCCGGGTACACCGGACAATTTGTATGCTGTTACCACAACAACAACCACCCAAAACCTTCCAGGAAAGGGCACAGTGGATATACTTAGCAATAGCCACTTTCAAGCAGTTTGTCAAAGATCACACCATTCTAGTAGCCAAGGAACGCTGGAACAATTTTCACCTTGCGAAACTTTCAGGATTACCTGGTATTTCTATAAAAGGAAACGCTTACGGGCCACTTACTAATGTGGAATCAGAACCATGTAAGACCGAATCGAAAAAGTTACCAAATTGAAAAATAAATTACCAAACTTGATAAATAAAGAAAAAATTACCTATCTTGGTTAAAAATTATCAAGGCGTCAACGCTGGTCAAGCCCAGTTGCAGGGGCTCGAAAGTCCGCAAAGCTTACTAAAACCTCCCCGTTTGACACCTACATTTAAATATGTCATTTAACTTGCCGATTAAAATGATTTTAAATTTCTAAACTGGTGGCAACTCTCTTCAAAAATATTTTCGAAAGAAAGCTTTTTTAACCCTCTGTCCTTTGATACCCATATTAAAACATTTCGTTCAACTTGTTAAGTAAATTGATTATGAATTTCTTAACAGGTGGTAACATTCTTCAAAAATATTTAGAAATAAATTTGTCTTAAACCTTTCTCATTTGAACCCCATACTGAAATATTGATTTAAATTGATTTTATGTTTATAAAAAGGTAGCACCTCTCTTCAAAAATATTTTTGAACCATTTTTTTAACAATATGGATATTGTAATATTTCATCTAACTTAACGAATAGTTGATTATAAACTTTGAAAAAGTGGCAACCCCCTTCCTAAAAATATCCTGTATGTTAATCCAGGACATGGCCTATGAGTGAGCCATATTTTATTGAGAAAGAGCAACAAACATATACACTCACTAACTCAAACTTTCACGCATTTATAATGCTAGTAGGTTTGATTAAAACGGTTTCAAATTTCTAAACGGGTGGCAACTCCCTTCAAATAAATTTTCGAAAGAAAGTTTTCTTAACCCTCTCTCGTTTGATACCCATAATAAAACATTTCGTTTAGCCTTTTAATTAAATTGTATTTGAATTTCTTAACGGGTGGCAGCCCTCTTTAAAAATATTTAGAAATAAATTTGTCTTAAACCTTTCTCATACGGTACCCATACTAAAATATTCGATTTAAACAGTTAATTAAATTGACTTTAAGTTTATGAAAAAGTGGTAACTCTATTCAAAAAATTTTTTTAAATAAATCGTTTTTAAACTGCTTTTGTTTGACACCCACATTGTTGTAACAATTTATTTAACTTGTTAAACAGTTCGTTTTAACTTTTGAAAAAAGTGGCAACCCCTTCAAAATATATCCTATATGCCAGTCAAGGTCATAGCCTATAAGTAGGCCAAATTTTATTGAAATACGTCCAGCCGTTATTAGCGTAAAAGGGCTACAAACAAACATACTCTCTCACAAACTTTCACATTTTTATTAGTAGGATTTTCGATTTATACATAGATTTGTCAACAACGTACATTATCCAAAATTTAATATATTTATAGTTTCTTAAACCTCGATCACTATTAAAACACTTTCGTTTAATTTTTAACTTTGCAGGGTTTGCCACGTTTTCCGTTTCTGTGACGTTATATTAGGTTTGTTCCACAATCTACTTGTAGAAAAACTCGAGCAAAGTTCAAACTGTCGGCGTATATCAAATAAACTCTAAAACTTACTTGTGAAACGCGTATGTGTAACTCGAAGTGACTTCGAGTAGCTTGTGGAACAAACCTATTATAACTTATATATAACTGACTCCCAAGAAACTACATTTATCGTTAAAACAAGAAAAGATAGGAAACAAGTGTCTATATATAAAATGTAGCTTATGAAATGTAGAAATATGAACAGAAATATACGTGCGACTGTAACGTTAACGACAAAAATGTTGACCATATGGTCCTTAGTTGTCTCACTTTAATTAAATTTAAGTACTTAAAGAAATTATAACTTTTAAGTACTTAGTGTTATTAAAATTGATAATTTAGGTTCGCGGTCTCTCGGGCCAGCAATGCCGCCCTATAATTTTACCCACGTATGCCCTTTTATAATTATCGCCTATCTTCTCTTTTTAGCTTGTCATCGATGATATAACACTAAATAATTCCGGTGAGAAATTCCTGCAGAATAAGGAAATGTATCCACCCTACAAACCCTTCAAAATCGTACTCACAAAGGACGGCACCGTCTCACATCTCTTCTTCAAAGAAGCAGATCCTATTTGGTCGACGAATTTCAAACGTGCCATTGCATCTATACTTCAATTTCAAGTTGAATCTACCGGCGCTTTCGTCGTAGATGAGGTACGCTTCTAAAATTACGCTTTCTTTACAATTCAATTGGTCACTCACGCTATGATTTCTCACAATAGATCGGCATACATGGCAAATGTTCGACAGAGTATTTCGTCTCGAACAAAACCAATTACATTTCCATACGCAAAACACCGGAATTGAAGAATTGCACACCCTTTTCGGAAGCCATACACGTGACACGCAGCAATGTGCCCTCGAATACGTGTGAATTCGACTTTCAAAAGAATGTCATCATCGGCAACGAAGCCATTTATGGCATGTTACCACACCCAGTGACTGGCTACTTCCTCAGCATGGCTCATGTGAAGGGCACAACTTTGATACACACATTTGAGTCGACGGGCGAGGCGCAATTTATCAACTCGGAGTATGTAAAGAGAGCGAAAATTTAATTGATCTTAAGGATGAGGAGTTATTCTAACATTGCCACTCTCTTATTTTAGACTCTTACTCAATTTCTTGAATGAGACCTCTCTGGACAATCCCATCGATATTGAGACTTCCATGTGCTCTGAGATATCGGGCCTTGAGCTATTACCCATCGATATTAACGATCCGACAGGTGGTCGCAATCCGCAGCTGCAAGAGTCATTAATGACAGCCGCATCCAGCATGTTGAACAGCCTTGCAGAGGGTCTGGAAAATTCTGAGCTACAATTTGGCGAACCTTATGACACGGCGGTTTCTGATTTGATAAAAGTGCTCTCCGAAATGGATTACGATTCGGTGAAAAAACTTTATAGAGATGTGGATATAGGAACTTCGTACCGGCAAGAGACTATAAGGAATATTTTTCACGAGATTATACCGCGTATCGGCACTAAAGCGTCTGTATTTTTAACGCGAGATTTGGTGCTGGAGAAAGATCTTAAGTCTACGATTGCAGTGCAACTTTTAATTTCAATACCCTTCCATATATTCGAGCTGTCACTGGAATTGGTGAAAGAATGCGAGGTCTTTTTGACATTGGGTAAGTTGAGAAATGGAAAATAAGGCTTAGAAGTATAGTTTTACGCGTAATTGTTTTAAATTTTTAGGCCCTGATCGCCCAGACGTGCACCAAGCGGCAATTTTGAGTTTCTCCACATTGGTACACAACGTTTTCATGGCTGGCCGCATTAATAAGGACGTTTTTGAGGAATATGTACAAAAATACTTTAATCTCTATTTGAGTAAGTCATATGAAGTCAGTTCCATTTAGTAAAGTTTAATGAACTCGGCGCCATCCCTCGAGAACAATGGAGGTGGGTGAAGGCGGCTCTAGCAAACGTCTTGTTGGAGAACCCGGAACCCCTTCCGCGTGCAGAGATGCCAGCTGGTACCAGGGCCACTTCAAGATGGTAGATTGTGATGATGCGAGGTCGGTGGCGCTCTATAAGACCGTCGCAAAGGTGGGAGCTGTCTGAAAGTGGTGCAAATCTGGAAGTGTTGGACTGGAAAGACATTCAAGTCAGGCCAGGTTGTGGTTGGTGATGACGCCATCTTCGCCGGAGAGCATCTTAAGAATGCTAAATAAATAACATGATTCCGGCTCTTCCAACGAGTGATTAGAGGGTCCTACGGATTGAAGACCCATGTGGCCCGTCGAGGCAAGTGGTCCTGTCTCTGAACAGGAACTCGACCGAACCTCTGGAGTGGAGGCAGGACCGTGTCTTCTACGGCCTCGACGTGCTGACCCTAAAGGTCTAACGCGGGGACGCGCAGCCGAAGACAATTAAACTTTACTAAAGCGAGATCGGCTAAACTCAAAATATTGAGACTTCATGTATGTAAATGTTAATCTTCTAATGTGTATCGTTTTTTCGCAGATAGTCGTGACTATGAACTAAAAATGCTGTACCTACAAGGCCTAAGCAATCTGCAGGTGGGCAACGTAGCCAACTACCTGGATCCCATTGTTAGTGATCCGAATGAAAATGAGGATATCAAATTCTTGGCTGCTTGGGCGACCCTCTCGCTAGCCACCGAACGCGCAGAACGGGTAAGAAGGGAGTAGTATTAGAATACGATCGTAGGTGCCGCTTAAAATTTTTATTTTTATTTCGCAGATCTATGAAATATATTGGCCCATCTTTGAATCACGCAATGCCAGCTTGGAACTGCGTGTCACTGCTGTTACTCTTCTACTTATTTCAAATCCGACAGCAGCACGTCTTATCAGTATTCATCGCATCATACAAAGTGAAACAGATCCGCATATGATTAACTATTATCGCACCACCATTACGAGTATATCCGAGACGACTTATCCTTGTTATCAACATCTGTAAGTGATAGCATTAACAAGAGATGAGCTTGTCTGAAAATAGAGATGAAAGCTCTTATTCAACAAACGGAAATCGAAGCGGTGCATCTCTGAACTCATTTCATTCATACATACATACGTCGTTGATCGGGAATCCGATTTCCATGTGTTCCCATTACGTCTAGGTCAAGGTCATATACCTTTATTCGAATGATATCATTTTGTTAACCCAGACTCTAAAAGAAGTGGAATTACAGGTGGGCATGAATCGCGGCATTCGTGATTCAATGATTCCTCGTTTTGAATCGAATCAACTAAAATTACAGCTGTTTTCTCTGCAATACAATTTAAAATGAGAAGTCAACTCGTTATCGAAGGCCGTGATCTTAAAAACAAATTTCAATTCTAGTTACGCTCGATATCGAATGCTCCGATTCGGGCCCTGTTTTCGCAAACAGTTCAATGACCCCTGAGGGTATTTGAACAGGCGTACATGGTCTTAGACTGAAGCTTTCAGTGTCCTTGTGAACCTTCCCAAACATCTTCCAAGTGGGAATATACGCTATTAGTCTTTGTGCAGAGGTTAACCTTCGTAGGAAATAGCGAAGTGAAAATATCCTTATATCTAATTATAGTCAGTAGGCACTTATGGCTCTCTCATCCTTTGAGGTCAAATCCTCATTGATCCTGGAGAAGTTTAATGTGCTTACTGAGAATAATATTATCCAACTGATAATAGTACCAGGGCGCATGGGAGCGTAAGGAAATGAGGGAACTGCATTACCGAAACTCCAAGACAAGCTAAGAGCTTACTAAGGGGTACAATCTAAAGAGATATAGGCTACTGATAAACCTCCCCAAATAGAGCGCAAGAAAAATTATAGGTATTTTTACGGGTCAGTGTAGGCTAAGAGACCACTTGCATAAGCTAGGGATCTGGTAAAGCGATCTTTATCGCTTTTGTGACTCCGCCAAAGAGACAACATTGCCCTTTCTCCTGGAGTGTGAGGCCACTGAAGGTGAAGGGAGAGGTGTACAGTACATCCATGGCCAAGGGAAGAGCACATACACACCCCACCACCGGGATTTATTAAAAAATTTATGAAGTCTTTAGGTCTAGATGCAGTGCTCTGATGATTTTAGGGCACAATAGACCAAATGGTTGCAGTGCTCACTCTATTTTTATCTGTCTATAGGTCGAGAGATCGAGCACAGAGATGCTCCGTTTCGATTTCTCTTTGAAGCCTTGTCTTAGAATCAGTACTCGCTATCGAATAAACCACAATTAGAACTTAAATTTTTTTGCACCAAAAATGAACTAGGTCTCTGGCTACCTTTCTCTCTGTATATATCTAAGTAAAACTCTCCTTCTCTCCTTTAGCCGCCGTCTGCTCTCGTATATGCATAGACATTTACCACAAAAGCCCGAATCTCGTTACTGGGTCACCGGAAATTATATTTTCGATTATCGTGATTCGAAATTCGGTATTGGCGCTATGTTGCAAGTATTTTTGGTAGGTGACTCGAAATCAGACTTGCCAGTGGTTGCTTATTTCAAGTTCGATACAGAAGCTTTGGGCAAATTTACCGGGCAATTGGCGGTAAGATGTTTCTATTTTTTTTTATACAATATTTATGTTTCCTTCCTCCCTCCACAGCTCTATATCAAGGCACGCGGTCTACCCGATGCCATATTCCACAAATTTTTGAAGAATACCGCAACGCCCTTAAAATTCGAACACATTAAGGAATTATTGCACGCCCTGAAGGCGCCAATTATTGAATCCAAACCGCTGCATCTTGAATTTATCCTACAAATGGAGGGTAAAACAGTTTTATCGTATTACCTGAATCAGAAAACTTTTCAAAAACTAACCTACTCCGATCGTAAGTGTTGATTGTGTCTCGCACTCTCTCCATCACTCTCCCACTTTTTTTCAAATTCTCAGTTATCAATCGCGTCAGTTATATCATACGCGCTGATAGTCACATCAATATGCAAACCATTCGCTGGCCCTTCATGACCAAATATTCGGTACCCACAGTTTTGGGCACCGCTTCCGATGTGCTACTCCAAACCACTGTACTCACTTCACTGCGTGGCAACATTACACAACATCGCACCAATGATGTCATGAAATCAGCGCTGGAGATTGATGCCCGTTACTCGTCGTACGCATCGTGTCGCAGTCGTAGCTACAATCCATTCTTGAACTTGGATCATGAAATCAATCGTGAACAGGGCTTCCTTATCTATGTGCCGTTCAATACTGATCTAAATATGAATATTACTAGCAAATGTTTGCGTTATTCCTTCCATCGTCCGGAGAATATGACAAGTGGACTTTCATTTAAATCGCGTTCGATTACTTCGACGCGTGGACAGATAACAAAAGCTACCCAGCCTTTTGATGAAGTCTTGTATCCCGAAAGGCTTGTGGATGTGGTAAGTTGAAGGTGTTGAAGGAGTTGAAGACAAAATTCAATTAGTGAGTAAATTTTACTTTCAGTTCCAGCTGTTCAGATACGATACAGACGATTTGGGCATTTCAGTGTCCATTAAAACAAATCTAAACGAATTGAATAAGTACCGCGGCATGCTGCTCAAGTCAGAGTTTATGGAAAAGTGAGTATGAATTTTTAAAAGGCTTCTTGGTCCCATTTTCACATCACCTTTTTATTACTTTGACAGCGGTTTCTCACGCAATATGGTCATAAACTTTATAATGTATGTTTTTGGTGTTGCACAATTGAGTTCGATACATCTTGGACATGACCGAAACTTTACGATGCTTGTGCAGAATGAAAAACCAACGAAGGTGGGTACGAAAATGTGCTCAAAGTAGCAGTAGATCATATCGCCCACGTTCTGTCTCGTCCAATAGAACAATTTGAGCAAATACATATAAAACAAATTTATTTTTTATAGATCGATGGCTCGATTTGTAAACAAGATCTAATAAACACGGCCGATAAAATTGGACAGCAGCTCAGCTTTACCATGGAGCATTCGAGTAATTTAGACGTCTCGGAAGCTCTGCACAGCTGGAACGTTACAATGGATATTTACTCCTCAACTAAGAATAACTGGTTTAATGTAATTGGCACTTTGGAACGCACATCGAAAGTCGACACTCGCGACTGGAGGGTATGTTAAAAGAGAAAACCGAAGGGCTAAATGAAAAAATTTCGCATAATAAAAAAAAAAACTCGATGTGTGGGTTCACTCCTGTTTGGTTATCTCCGTAGTGAAATGGGTATCTGGTTATATTTTTTATTCAATTTAGAATAAAATACACTAGGGGTATTCATATAACGTAATAAACTGCCGATAAACGTGAAAAAATTATAAGATCCATACAAATTCATAGTTTCATCACGTTTATCGGCAGTTGGTGACGTTAGATTAATACCCCTACTATAGAATAATAATTTTTAACCAGATAACTATACAAGTGTAGACTATAGGGTGGCTCGAAAATACATGGGACGAAAAAAAAATAAAATGTTAAGCTTTCAGTGCCAGGAATTTTTCTACATCGCGTGTATTTTATATGGTATAGAATTCTTGAAAATTAAGAGCTTCCGATCGATAAATATTGGTTTTCTACGAAACACTTTATTAGCTTTGACGCATCCCTAAACCTATTTTTATACCTTTCATGAGCATGAAATGGTATTATAACTTTGGTCCGATGTTTGTAAGTACCAGAACAAAAAGAGATAGACCCATCAAAATGTATACTTATATGATCAGAACGTCGAGCTGAGTTGATTTATCCATGTCCGTCTGTCCGTCTGTCCGTCTGTCCGTCTGTCCGTCTGTCCGTCTGTCCGTCTGTCTGTCTGTTTGTATGCAATCTAGTCTCTCAGTTTTCGAGATATCCGGATCAAATTTGGTAGGTGCGTGTATTTTTATAATGTATTAATCATTTGTCGGAACCGGAAGAATCGGACCACTATAACATATAGCTCCCATACAACTGATTGTTCAGATATGAGATTTTTCGTTATAACTTCTCCATTTACGCAGCTACGAACATGAAATTTCGCAGCACTTGCACCCATTATCAACAGAATGCTTACAGTGAAAATTACAAAGATCGGGTCACTATAACCTATAGCTCCCATACAACTGATTGTTCAGATATGGGATTTTTCGTTGTAACTTCTCCATTTATGCAGCTACGAACATGAAATTTTGCAGTACTTGCACCCATTATCAACAGAATACTTACAGTGAAAATTACAAAGATCGGGTCACTATAACCTATAGACCCCATACAACTGATTGTTCAGATATAAAATTTTTCGTTATAACTCCTCCATTTATATCGCTAGGAACATGAAATTCCGCACTGTTTTCAATAGTTATCAACAGAAAACTTACAGTGAAAATTAAAAAGATCGGGTAACTATAACCTATAGCTCCCATACAACTGATTGTTCAGATATGAGATTTTTCGTTATAATTCATCCATTTATGTAGCTAGGACCATGAAATTTCGCGCTGTTTTCAGTCATTATCAACAGAAGACTTACAGTGAAAATAACAAAGGTCGGGTCACTATAACCTGCAGACCCCATACAACTGATTGTTCAGATATGAGGTCTTTTATCATAACTCCTCCATTTATGCAGCTAGGAACATGAAATTTCGCACCACTTTCACTCATTATTTACAGAATACTTACAGTGAAAATAACAAGGATCGGATGACTACAACATATATCTTCCATACATCTGATTGTTCAGATATGGGATTTTACGGTAAAACTCCTTTATTTGAATAGCTAAAACCGATAAATTTCGTAAGATATTTTATAAATAATAATACAAAGTCTACTGAGAAAATCATCAAAATCTATGCTGTATAAGCTTTATCTCCTATAGCACTGATTGTTCAGATACCAGTTTTTGCCATATATCTCCTTTATGTAGGAAACTAAACCCAATAAATTGTGTTACCGGTTTACATACCGATCACATAGCAGTGAAAATCACTTAGATTGGTGCCATATAAAGTATATCTTCCATACCTCTGATTGTTTAGATGCGATTTTTTATATAAGTATGTAACTCCTCTATCGATGTATGCAGATGTATTCAAAAGCAGTAATCTGTCAAAGTAAAATTTGCAGATGTTCATGAAAGGTATGAAGCCTTCGGCATAGCCGAAGACAGCGCTGCTCTTACTTGTTTTTTTGTTGTTTTGTTGTTAAATAATACTGGTATTTTTTTTCATTTTAGAAAAGTCCCCCCACTTTATTATTCTACTTGTTTTAATTAATTTCATGATTTGGTCCTATAAAAAAAAAATTCAAGCCTTATTTTTCAAAAAAGATTTTTTCTTAAGTGTTTTTCCAAAAATATTTTTCCCAAAAAACTTGTTTTTCCCCAAGAAATCATTTTTTACCAAAAAAAATTGTTTTTTTTATTTAAGTCAAATATTTTATAATTTTGATAGATATTATTTTCTAAAAACCATGCTGTTTCCTACAAAATTAAAAAAACTCTTTCGTATAAATAGTTATTTCCTCTTCATTTTTACTCAGAATTTTCTCTGGTTGCTAATTACAATTTCTTCTTAATAGTCTAAGATCCGACAAGGGCACGACCTTCACCCATCTGTTTAATGGATGAAATCTATATGAAATTTAACGTGTTAATAAATATTACGCGAGTGAGTTGGCTGAAAAAATCCTGGCCAGGCTATTTTTAATTAAAATTATTTTTATTTTTTATTTTTTACTCAGTCGAAAGTATTAAGCCTATAGAATGTGCAATCGAT